TGTGGCTAAATAATGCATGAGAGATCAACTTACAATACGACTATTTTAGTGTTTTTTTTGTCTATCCCACAGGAGACATTGCTGTTTTCATAAAACCTCTTAGAGTGCCAAAAGGGGATCGAGGCTATATTACAACCAATGTCCTCCTTGCACTGGATGGTAGTGACAAGCCAGAGGAGCTCCTCTATGTGATAACCTCCCCACCCCAGTACGGACGAATAGAGTATGTCAGCTACCCTGGCATCCCTATTACAAGCTTCAGTCAAATGGATGTAGCAAGACAGATAGTTTGCTATGTTCACAACACAAAAACAGTCGTTCCTGAAGATACATTCAGGTAAGGCGTAACACCTCACTCCCCAAACTTCTCCCTTTAGATTTCTTGGGTATTTAAAAAAAAAAAAACAACAAACCACAACACAAAACAAACAGAAAAACAAAATACAAGGTATTAAAAACAGGTGGAAGCTCTATGGGAATTGTCAATATTTATATAGCAAAGATATTTCTACTATAATACACATAGTTATGACTGCTTTGGTGATAAACGCATTTTCTAACTGATGCTGAAACTGTAGCCAGAGCCACATTCACTCAATGATACTAGCTTCAATAATATTAGAGCACCCAAACATGCACAGCTGTTAAGATTTAAGTGGGTGAGAAGGACTAGGAACACACTTTGTGGAATTTTTCCTTTGGCTTCTTGCTACAGCTGGATGTATTAAAACTGGTCCATCCAGGTATTAAATAACTGCTTTCTTGCCTAATCTTATTTATCTTATTCATTCAGTTCCACACTTTTTGAAGCCACAAGTAGTTCTTGAACATACTGAAAAACAGTCCACTTACTTACTTACTTACCTATTCTGACACCGCAATAGTTTGGAAATTTGTGCAGACAATTGGATTTGGGGGGGTAAACCTGGTTACTTACAAGCCTAGTTCAGCAGCCTAGTGATATTTAAGTTTGCTTTCACTTGGTTCTGAACCTTCTCCTTAGGCCAACTTAGACTAGGTATACTCCTAAAGTGAATATTTCCTTATTTTCTTCTTTAATGAATTTCCCTTGGTTAAAGAGTGGAATGATGTAATGAGTTATCATCAGGTAAAGACAGAATAGATGTATTGTTGCTCAAAGTCTCAGGGACAGTTTTGTAAAAGAGCAAATTCAGGAAAAAAAGTGCTCAGAAAAAAGGAAAATATTTCTAAAGGAAGAATGCTAACTTCTTGCTATCATTGGCTATTTCCTCAGAAAACAGCTTTTGACAGAAAATGGACTTTCTCTAAAATTCAAATTTTTCACACAAAAATAAAAGCTTGTTGGTTTTTCATTTGTGACTACAAAAAATAAAGGATTTAGCTCCTAAGAGTTGCAATTCAGAAAAGACGCCTTTTTACACTCCCTTCTGACTAGATTCCTGATCTTAATTGCATTTTCCATGATGCGTGATGAAGATTCAAGGACATGTTATGTCATCCAGTTTGAGAGCTTTTTTGCAGGGGAGTCAAGCGAGTGGGTCATGTGTGACATTATCTAGAGTTAAGCCAAAAGTAATTTTTGGACTTTCCTCAGTTGAGACATTTTAAACTATCCCTTCCACTAAATTCAATGTGGTAGAAAGTCTAGTTAAGAGATTTGTCTGATCCACTTGTAATCATGACAGAAAAAGTGAACAAATATTCTCTGCCTTTATGTTTCTCAATTGTGAAACACTATGACCCAAACTGGAATTAGCTTAGACAAGTAAGGTTGCAGTCATGCCAGCCCTAGGTTGGGCAGTGTAGGAGTGGAGTGCATCAGGATGACTTCTACACCACACTAATAA